GGCGTTGTAAGGGACGCGGGATGACGCTGCGTCTGAAGGTAACACATTGTTCGCGTCTGCCCCAGCACCCGCCAGTGTAATGAGGCTCCAGAGAGTTCGCTGGAACAGCGCGTGGTAGAAGCTGCTCATCCATGGCGATCGCTGATGCGAGCCGGCTGTGACTGCAATAGTTTTCAGTCTTCCGTGCTGCCTGATCTCCGTGACATGATGAGGTTCTGAAGACAAGAGGCAGATGGGCTCGTGTGCAGCTCATCAAGGGATCCAAATAAAAAGGAGCGGGCGAAGACCACGATTGGATACAAAAACATTGACAATCTGCTTGATTCTCTAATGAAACTAGTTGCTGGGATGTGAGTACCCAGAGGACCGATCGGGTGATACCAGCGCCGTTTAGACAGCGGTCGATTGTGCCGAACGTTAGGATGCCCTCCGTAATGTTTCAGCACAATCTGGAAGACTTCTTGATGATGACGCTGTTTGGGTCTAGAGGCGCTTAGACTAAAGCGGTAGAAGACTTCTTGGATTGGTAATAAACCCAACCTATTATGTCCAGCCACAGGAGCCTCTTTGGCTCAGGAAGTTTGCTATAATATTGAGTGTCATGGGTTTGCCATTTTTTGGGCCTGTATATTCAGTCATAAAGGCAATATAGCTGACGCATGTCTTCGCCAACGCAAGAAAAGGAGCCGCCCGTGTTCCTCGCGCGGTCAATACTGAAGTGGCAGACCTGCTGCCGAACTCGAACAGTCCTGAACTCGGCTATAGCCATCCTACGGCGTTCTTGGTAAATCTGGGCGTCATTTCAAAACTTTTTATTGAAGCTTTCGGACGCAAAATGGGCCCAATCGGGTGGACCGTGACTGGCTGTTACAATGTTATTAGCTGAGACGAGTCGTTTATGTCAGGCGGCTTTTTGCGTGTTGCTTGCGCCAGCTCTCGTCTCGTGTACCTTTCAGCAGTTCAGCAGATCAGCGGGCGGTAACGTCCTCCGCCTAGGAGAAGCCAGCACAGGCTAGCGTGCGCCGGACCTAACACAGCTTTATTGCTTGTGTGGCGCCAAAGCCAGCACAGGCTAGCGTGCGCCGGACCTAACCCGGCTTTACTGCTTGTGTGGTGCCAAAGAGGCTGCCAGCGCCGCATGCCTTGCGTGCCAACGTCCGTCTGTGCTTGAGTGTGCGAGTGCAGCCTTGCTCAACGAAGGTGAATGTGACTCTTCGCGGGTTGTACGTCTCGAGATGCGATTACCGCCATCTAACTGACAGATCTGGTGGGCGGCACCAGCAAGTGAAAAAGCTACTTGCTGGTAATAATGTCGATTATCTGAAGCGTACAGATACTGACTCAATGTTTAACAACTTTTTTCAGCAAAGCATTAACAGCCGCGCGTGGACCTTCGCTGACCTTCGTGCGGCTACGTCTTCACTCTCGGATGTCCTATGTAACGGCTCGTGGACCGCAACTCGTGGTCCAATTATCGGATTTAGCATCTGGACTTGCGGCCGGTATCCTTGTGCTATGCAGCACAGTATCCAGCCGTGCGACGGCACAATATCCAGCCGTGCGACGGCACAGTACCCAGTCGTGCGACGGCACAGCATCCAGCTGTGCGACGGCACAGTATCCAGCCGTGCGACGGCACGGTATCCAGCCGTGCGACGGCACAGTATCCAGCCATGCGACGGCACAGCATCTAGCCGTGCGACGGCGGAGTATTCAGCCGTTCGGCGGGAAAATATCCAGCCGTTCGGCGGCACAGTATCCAGCCGTTCGGCGGTAACGTATCCAGCCGTTCGGCGGTAACGTATCCAGCCGTGCGACGGCACAATAGTCAGCTGTTCGGCGGCAGAGTATCCAACTGTTGGGCGTTGAGTTCTCCCGGCTGGTCGCCAAGCGAACAGTGCAGCCTTTTGGGGCGGCTTGCGAAAGGCTTGCCATGTGATGATGACTTCGTGCTGTCAGCATGACACGTCCATTCGTACCAAAGGGCCTTCGTGCTGTCAGCATGACACGTCCATTCGTACCAAAGGGCCTTCGTGCTGTCAGCATGACACGTCCATTCGTACCAAAGGGCCTTCGTGTTGTCAGCATGACACGTCCATTCGTACCAAAGGGCCTTCGTGCCGTCAGCATGACACGTCCATTCGTACCAAAGAAGGGCAGCAGGTCTCCTGCGGTGGAGAAGCACTTGCCGCGGGCCTCCTGCGGTGGAGAAGCGCTTGCCGCGGGCCTCCTGCGGTGGAGAAGCACTTGCCGCGGGCCTCCTGCGGTGGAGAAGCACTTGCCGTGGGCCTCCTGCGGTGGAGAAGCACTCGAAGCCGCGATCAAGCTGTGCGCTTGTGATTGTTCCCGAATTCAAGAACTGGTCTCGCATTAAAGGTCTGATCCAAACGCCCACTAAGATCATGCATAAAACAAACAATTTCCTCAGCACGGGCGACAGAAGGTCGACTTTTCTCCCAATTCCTGCAAGTTTGGACCATACTCCTGAAAATCGCCCACTATTTTACTCACTCGCCATCTAATGCGAGCTTTTTGGCTGCTCATGGGGGAGGGTACCACTCCCTTGGTCCTCCTCTTGGTCCTCACCTTGGTCCTCACCTTGGTCCTCCGCTTGGTCCTCACCTTGGTCCTCCTCTTGGTCCTCCCCTCGGCTACATCCCTGACTGACGATTCGGACTAGTAGTGGGTTGTAACACCATCTAAACACGCACTGACATCGTGCAAAGCCATTTGTTAGCAAATATTTTGCGATTATTTCCCAGTGCCGTGCAACTTGATCACGTCTGTGAACACCACTCACACTAGATGATAGTCAAATTTAGGCAATGGTGTCTTTTTAAAAGCGACTATCGCCTTTCGTTCTTCAGAAGTATTTATCTTCATTCTCGGTATTATTTTCCAAAGGTCTTAAGCAAACGATTTCCCATCAGCTGTATGTACCCTTATGCTACGCCACAAGTCGACGTTACGGCAACGAAAACGGCCACCTCGTTGTGTTCCAAACCAAACTGCCATCTCGTTGTGTTCCAAACCAAACGAACGCCCATTGTGAGGCACTAAAGCATTCCGGCTCCAGCCATACGCCCTCATAAGGGCGTTAGCATCCGTCGCATAATGTCACAGACGGAGTGACGTCACGACTCGGGTGCCATCGAGGTGGCTCAGGGCTGCTTCCTTTATATAAACTATAATACTAAAAACTATAACCGATAAACTATAGCCACCTTGTGTAGTCAAACATGGCAATTATGGGAGTAAGCTGCCTAAATATAGTGATTTAAGGAACGCAGCTCAAACTTATGTAACTTAAATCGACATGGAAATGAATGAAATCTGCAGATGGGGAAAAACGACCAGCATATCAGCTGACTATTTTCAACTAGCCGCAGTTTCTTTTTGGTTTTGGAAAATTATTTTGGAGACCAGACTTCAACATGCTCACAGACGTGGATAGTCGTCACCCCACCCATCATTCAAGACGCCCTATTATAGTATAGTAAAACCCGTGTACAGTTAATTCCGGCGCCACATGCACTTGTGTTTGCTTCAAATTCAGGTATTAGGTGTCTTTTTAGGTCTTCGGACTCTTCACAACTTTCCCTAGGTTTGTTAGAATGTATGGCTAAAGAAATTATGAAATGCGCTGCTATGAGACATACTATCAAATACGATGCTACGAAATGTACCAATATACTGCCAAATATAACACTTAAGAATATGTAGAAGTCGAAAGATTAATCCAACAGATGTTTTTAACTGACAACAGAATGTGTCAAATCCCATGTACACATACAAAGGTG